TTACAAGGTGCTCAGTTCAAAAATTTGTAGGTAGGTATGTTACTTTTCAATACGTGACACGTAAAAATTAACAATAATCAAAAACACATCTGCGAAACATCCTATTTATTTATTTATTCTTTATTGCACCAAATATTTGTACAAAAGGCGAGCTATCTATTTATTTACCTATAGTGAATAGGTATCTTTTAAACTCACAATTTTCAATGCTTCATTTTTAATATATAATTAATTATAAAATTTCATAATTAGATAATATGAAAATACATAATTCTAATATAATGCAACTAATATACCGAATAAAAAAATTAAAATACGTTTATCGTTGTACGCTGTGTGTATTTCCATAAAATAGTTTATTGATGTTGAAAAAATAATACTACGTTCGTACAATAGGTGGCGTCTTACATATTTCTTACGCAATATATTGTAGCGAGCGGCGCGCCGGCCAAATGCTCAAGGTCGTTCGCATGGAGTAGCCCCTTAAATAATAATGATAAATATTATAGACTTAAGGATTTGGAGTTTTTATTAAAAAAAACACTGACATACTTACTTCTAATGCACATGTCGAAAATATTAATTATTTAAACTACACTCATTTAGTTTATAAATAAAAAATAGTTAAAGATCGATCATCTTATAGCGTCGATATTACTTCAAATAATTAGAATTGGGTATGTAATTATTGCAATATAAAAAACTACAGCTTTCTTGAATTTTTTTTTATAGGAAAGAGGGCAAACGAACATGTGGCTCACCTGATCGTAAGTGACTACCGCCGTCCATGAACAACTGCAACACCAGGGGAATTGCAGATGCGTTCCCAGCTTTTTAAAAAGGAGTAGGTTCTTTTCTTGAAGGTCCCTAAGTCGTATCGGTCCGGAAAAATCGCTGGTGATCTTCGATTCCACAAGAAGGTTTTGCGAGGGAGAAAACATCTTCTAAATCACACAGTGGTGGACCGCCAATCATCCAGATGGTATGGATGCTATCGCAAGTTTTATAGCGATGTACGATGGTGAAATTGAGCGGCTGGAATTAGTCTGAACAATTCCTCAGATCACTCCCCGTGATAGATGCGACAAAATACGCAGATATGCAACATCTCTACGCAGTGCCAGTGAGTCAAGCCGATTGGAAAGAACTCGGTCGTCGACGATTTGAACCGCTCTGCGCTGGATGTGGTCAAGTGGAAGTTGCTGGCACTGAGGCGCCCCTGCCCAGAGATGTGATTCAGGACCTGCACCTTGTAAAGTTGCAAGCGGTGTGTCAGCATGAAATACTGTCCCGCCCTGCTGAGCACGCCAAGCTTTTTAGAGGCCAATTTGGCCTTCTCTTCCAAGTGACCACGAAACTGCACGTCACTCGATATGTCGACACCGAGGATTCCGATACTGGCTGAGGCAACAAGGGGAGTGCCTTGAAACTGAGGAGATATGACAAAGGGGTTCTTTTTAGCGGTAAACGCGCAAACTTGTATCTTCTGGGGATTGAACTAGACTAGATTTAGTCGCCCCTAATCCGGACTTTGTTCAGCAAAGACTCGACTTCAGACACAAGTTTGTTCCGGCAACGTTTTCCCGAGAAATATTGGCACGGCTGATGTATAAAGCATCACCAGTGCTGTCGTCCGTTTAGCAATGAATGTTACTGGCTTGCAACATATCATAGATATGCAAAAGAAACAGCGTTGGTGATAGCATGCAGCCTTCTGGAACAACAGCGTTAATGGACTTGTAATCGGAGCATGCACTGTCTACTACGACCTTGATGCTCCGATCTGCAAGAAAACTGGTGATCCAATTGCACGATTTCTCAGGAAGCCTATAGGATGACAGCTTCGAAAGAAGCGCTTTGTGCCAAAACCGATCGAAAGACTTCGCTATGTCCAAACTAACGGTCAACGCGGGAGGCGTTGCGAGGCTCCTATCTATCTAACACTGCCTCCTATGAGTTAGATCACGTAGAAGATCACCAGCTGAGCGTCCTCGACGGAAACCGTACTGACGGTCACTAATCAGCACTCACAACGCGGGATGGTCGGCGGTGTATTCCTCCCGTCATCTAGAGTCGAGTTGGAAGCAAAAAGAGAGCCTAGCAGATCGGCTTTCTTCTTTGCATCATGGGCCAGTGAGTGGTCTACCCTGTAGCCTTTTCCCACGGTAGCTAACTTTTGTGAATTGTTTTTTTAGCCTAAAATACAATTCACAATGGAGTTAGAGGCAAACAATACTTTAGCTTTTCTAGATGTTTTAGTCATCCGAAATCCTGATAACACTATTGGTCATACTGTGTACAGAAAAAATACCCATACCAACCGATATTTAAATGGTGAATCTCACCATCATCCTTCACAGTTAGCTACCGTGGGAAAATCTTTGTTTCAGAGAGCACGAGGGATCTGTGACAGAAAACATCTGGCCGCCGAGCTTCAGCACGTCGAGCAAGTACTGCTAGACAACAAGCTTCGGGTCCCGCGCCTACGTCACAGTGACCGAGTGAAGCCAGCCACAGTCGAGCGTGTGCCTGCTGTACTACCCTATGTCAGAGGAGTCACAGACAAGGTTGGCTACATCTTGAAGCGAGCTTCCATTAAAACGTACTTCAAGCCGCTGAAGAAGATTGGTCAATTTTTACCATCCGTCAAGTGTCATATCCCTCTACAAGATGCAGGAGTGTACAAGCTGGATTGTGAATGTGGTCTCTCGTACATAGGACAAACAAAAAGATCTATTAAAACCCGCGTTAAAGAACATATAGCTGACGTGAAGCACCGACGTATCGGGAAGTCTGCAGTTTGTGAACATGTTCAGGATCGTCCCCGTCATTACATTAGATTTGATAGACCACAAATCCTCGCAAAAGAACACCGATTCCTCCCAAGGATGATTCGCGAGGCTATTGAAATTAAAAAACATCCTAATTTCAATAGAGAAGATGGATGGGTGCTGCCATCTGCTTGGGATCCCATAATTAATAAAATCAAATCCAAACCCAAGTATACCACTGCTAGACTTCAAGATACTGTAAGCTCATTCTGCGTAAATCGAACCAAAAATTAATATTAAAAAACTGAAGGTAGCCGGGCTAACTGTGACAGCAGGACGTCAAACAACTCAGTCCCCCGTGACCACGGGTGCTGGAAAGCACCCGAAACTTTGCGCGGTTGCCTCCTTCCCTTTGAAATATGTTGTAGTATTTGTCTCTACACATAGTTTCCCTTTTTTGCAATGTTTTCAAATAGCATACAGTTGCAGTTTCTTAAGAGAATCTCGGAATTCCACGGTTCGCAATACATTTATCTCCATTTCTCTTAATTTTTAATTTTGCAAAGCAGTGCGACGATTCGCTAGCGCCAGTACGGCACGACGGCTCGCTAGCGCGAATGTGGCACGAACGCAGCAGAACGGAAAGTTTGAGTGCGTTTGCCTGGAGGTAGCCATATCGGCGCGTCCATGACTTAAGCGTAACTACAAAATCAGTCTCTGTACTATACCCACTATACTTCCTACGTATATATTATTAATAAATGATTCCCATAATATTTTATATTATTTTTTATTTTAATCTATCTGAAATGTTCTACGCTCTATAGAAAATGTGGCGTATGACATGACTGACAATCTCTCGAACGTTTTATCTAGGTACAAAGATGTTTTACGTTTTCGTCGCCTCCACATAATATTTTTGTCAGCATAAGGTACCCTTCTGTATTTGAAACAAATATGAATATTGCTACAAACTAAAGTAATAGGCTATACAAGTCCCTCTGCTGGGCACAGGACTCTTTTTATTTCTGAGAGGGTTTTAGGGCAAGGTAATGCCCGCCGCGCTGCCCCAATGCGTGTTGACGAAAATTGCAATTACAAATTTCTTTCGTGCTGTCGGGGATCAAACCCAGGAAAAATTTACAGCGAACGCTTCGACCCAGATCTACTAATACGACACAAATAAATACGATTTAACATATATAATAAAAAACTCTTACGTATTTGAAACTTGAACACTTGATAGCTCGTGACGCCTACCGGACAAAGCTACAGCACAATGTAATTGAAGATGCGTAACCGCGACATAATTCTCAGTGATGCACAAGCATAACAGGCAGTATGTCACTTACATAATTGTCATCTCTGCAGTCTATTAATCTTTGCAGTTTTTTAAGTAATACAGAACGTAGTTGCTAGACGGTGTTGACGTCGGCTAAAATCTCTGCGATCGCCGTTTCGTCAAGGTCATTCAGGCTAGTTAAAGCCTTAAGCAGCGCCCGCTCCAAACGGACTCCAAATGACCGATCAGCGACCATAAGCTAATAAATAAATATTCGCCACGAGCGCGAATCGTAAGAGCCTCCCGCCCTTTACTTCCCCGTACAGCCCATATCGGGAGCTCACTTTGCAAAAGTAGTTAAATCATCTATTTGAGTAGATAAAAACTTAAAATATCTTTACAATATACGGTAGCAAGATACGTGTAGTAAAGCCGAATTTACATTACGAAACTAGTGGCTCGAAATTAGTTTTATGACATTAATTTCATCAACAATTTCACGTGTAAATTTACAGTTTCATAACGCATGCATCGGTTTCGCGACACTGGATTAATTTCGTGCCATGCGCATATTTTTTGTAAAACTAATGTCACGCAAATACTTTCACGATGAAAACGCGACACGAAACTAGTGTCGCGAAAGCATCTGCACAGGGTAGACGTGTGTGTTTGAGTGCATCGTGCAGCTAAATACGCGACAAAATGGCAAACCAACGTTGGTCAGTCGATAAAAATATAAAATTCATTAACGAATACCAGCGTAACGAGTGTCTTTAGGATTCAAAACACCCTCAATATAAAAATAGAGATGCTAGAGAGGCAGCCTACAAAGTAATTATGGAAACCATGGAAATGGACACTGTGAAAGAAGTTGTAAACAAAATACGGATACTTCGTAATACTTATAACAACGAACTATTGAAAGCAAAAAATGTAATACGACGGGTATGGGAACTGATGAGGTGTACGTGTCTAAAATACCTTGGTTGCCTCATATGCATTTTTTGAAAATCATTGATAGTTACACCAGAGAAAATACAGAGAATTTGGTAAGTTATTATTTTATTATTTGTAGTAATTGTTTTCAAATTTAATCATTCTTTCTTGCCATTCTAGACGCCCTTGTCCAACAAAGTAGTCACTATAATGTTCTCTTATTCTGTGGGAATTTCTGGAATGATTTCCACTAAAACTGCTGAGTGGCCTGAATGTTTCCTGTGGTATTTCTCGCCATGAACCTCTCCTTATTTCTCCTGTATTTATATTTTCTTCATCAATCAATCCTGGTTGAAAATAGGACGGTGATGTAGTTTTTAACCAATTGTGCAAAACACAACAGGCCTTTCTAATTTTGTTCACAGTTTCTGGCACTAAAGGAATAGGTTTTTCAAATATCCGAAATTTACTAACTAATACACCAAAAGTGTTTTCTATAGTTCTCCGAGCTCTGCATAGTCGGTAGTTGAAAGTTTTGTGTTTTTTTGATTCGAGGACTATAAGGTGTCATAAGATATTCAGTCAAAGGGAATGCTTGGTCTCCCAAAAAAAACCATTCCTTCAGGACAGTTCAAAGTCTTTTCTTCCAAGGTATTTTTTTTAAATTTGATCTAGCAAATATTCCTCCATCGGAAGCTCGGCCATAGTGACCCACATTGATATACCTAAACTTTAAATCACTGTCACAAACTGCTAGGAGGACAATACTGAATGTTCCCTTGTAATTATAATAATCACTTCCCGAGTGCATGGGACAACGTATTTGAACGTGTTTGTCATCTATAGCGCCACCACACAGTGGAAAATTACATTTTTCATGAAATCCATCAATTATATCTCTCCAACTTTCTTCATTGTCTGGTACCTGTAAAAGAAAATAAGTAGTTCAATATATTGTTTCAGACACCAAACATTGCACCCAACACTCAAGACGCTTCAGTTTCTGAATCCAACGATGAAGAGTTCACTGTACCACGTATAAATTCAAGAAATAAAAGGAAATTAAAAGATCCGCTCCTTAGAGCAGTTGATGCATTAGAAAAAGTTTCAACGCAGCAGTTTTCAAATAAAATAGATGATGACGAATTTGACCTTTTCGGACGCACTATAGCTCAGGAGTTATGGCAGCTTCCATTAGAAGCTGCCCTAGAGACCGAAGAAGTAATATTGGCTACTATAAGACAGCAACGTGTAAAGCTATTAAAACAGACATCGTTATCACAAAGAGGTACATTATCATCAATGTTAGAGTGTATGGAGTCTAACAGAACTACTACCATTACTATACCAGAGAATCAGCAAGTCGCACAATCCTCATCAGAATCGGAGTCAATTGCTGCTACTAGTGCTGCTACGAATAACGATGCAGAAGACGAGTATTACACATACAATGAGGACATACTTTCGCAAGCTGTTGCAAGCATATCAGGTTCTCATTTGGATAGAGAATTAAATTTTGATAATTATAAATATGCATATCATAATGCCTAGATTGTTAATTACACCAAATAAAAATTATTTTCTTACCTGAATGTAGTGTTTTAATTTTTCATAAATTTCGTCCAGCACATCAGGCAAAAATTGCGATATAGTACACGATGGCACTCTAAATTCGTATGATAATGAAGTCAAACTATTTCCTGTCGCAAGAAATCGTAAAGTAATTTGAAGTTTCAATTTTGCTGTCAGTGCTTCTCGACATATTGTATCCTGTTTAGATATTTTGTATGACACTTTACTTAATGAAAAATTAAAATAATCTTCACTCATTCGAAAGTAGTTTGTATAGCTCTCGGGATCTTCATCTGCTAATTAAGAAATTAAACGTGTTGCACCCAAATGCTTTCTTCCTACCCATCCTCGAATCCACCAACGTCTTTTCTTTCGAGATAACATTTTTTTTAATTTTATATATTAACATCTGTACCACGACGTTTTGCATCGCAAAATGAAGCTTTGATGTTGACAGAGCCATGTCGTTGGTGATACTCTTGATTTCACGACACTATTAATTTTTTTGAAAGTAGTTTCACACGTGCTGCAACTATTTTCATGAAACTCTTTCCAACATGCATAACACTAGTTTCGTAATGTAAATTCGGCTTAAAAGATAGAGTAAAAAGTGGAATATACTTTTAAATAAGTAACTATGAAGTAAAACAGATTACCTTGTAGCACTTTTTATTCACGTTATAAACGAATCACAATAATTATATTATACTTAATGTAGATGATAACAACTACTAGCAGAGCCACTTGCTTGCACACGACCGAAGTGAACTGAACTGAACTAAGATACCTCTGGCAATTTAATTTATAGTGTACAGCGCTGTTACAACTACCCACTAATCTTATTATTTTTACCTATGTTACTCTATGGTTTTATAATTTATTAAATCTGAAACATATCTATATTTAATAATCATTTATGTTTAATAATTTATTATATAGGTGTCGATGATTTCAAATCCACTCGTAACATTCGGCCATCCTGAGTCGTACGCGTCCCGCGGCGCTCATTATATTCACCATTTTGCCTCTGAAAGGAGAAAAGAAAATTGAGCAGTAAATTGTGCCATTTCCAAAAAGAAATCATGTAGATGAGATTTATTTTGTTTTATTACAAGTCATTAATAAAGGTTTATACTATTAATATACCTAGTTGTTTACCTAATAGTTCTTGTACATTGGCCATCTGGGGCTGGTTAACTTAGCCATCCTAGTGTTTCAACAATTCTGGATTTATTCATTTAGCTGTCCTTGTATTATACCTATTATGGACTTGGTCACTTAGCTGTCCGGGACCTAAAACTCTATTATGGACTTGGTCACTTAGCTGTCCCCTTGTTTTAACTATTATGGACTTGTTCACTTAGCTATCCCTTATTTTAATTGTTATGGACTTGTTCACATAGCTGTCCCTCACTTTTAACTATTATAGACTTGTTCACCTAGCTGTCCCTCTTTTAATTGTTATGGACTTGTTCACATAGCTGTCCCGCACTTTTAACTATTATGGACTTGTTCACCTAGCTGTCCCTTCTATTTGTTATGGACTTGTTCACATAGCGGTCCTATTATTTTAATTATTGTTAGACTTAGCTATATCTGTACTTTAGCTGCTTTGTAAATATTTATTTAGAGTTATAATACAAATTAAACCAACAGACTTAAACAATATGTTTTATTTAAAACAATATTTTAGTTGACAACTTTATAACAAAACAATTTATAACAACTCAATTTTAAATAATAAGGCAAAAAAAATTAACAAATAATAAATGGTTTCTTTTAATATTATTCTAGAAATTAATTAGATACACGCATTTCCAACAAAGGCAGTAGACATGCTTAACTTTCTAAGAGGTCTATCAGATCATCCCTGTCTACTTCACGGTCGCTAGATGAACTGTCATCATCTGATAGCGTTGATTTATATGGTCGTAGACTCTCACCGCTGACTACGGCACTGAACCTTCTATAACCTTTCATACCCATAATACTACTTATTTTATAACGATCGAGTGATTGCTCGGCCCTACAAACTTTATATGGACCTGTGTATGAACTATTAAGCTTTTTGGTGACTTTAGCAGTTGTATCTCTAGACACACCCCCTTTCCATAAAACCAAATCTCCTATTTTATACTTTCGGCATTTTTTGTGCTTACGATCAAATCTACTTTTCATTAAGGTCATATTCCTGTCAATACGAAATTTAGCATCTTTTCTTCTAGTTTGTAAGTTTTGTTGTTGAGAATCATAATCTTGGGGAAATTCTTTAGGAAAACATGGGAAACGTGAATTGTCGTGGCCAAACATTAAACTAAAAGGTGTATGTCCCGTAGTAGAATTAGGGGTATTATTAATTCCCCAGACTACATCTGACAATTTGTTATCCCATGTACATTCACTGTCAGAAATTGTATTTAAGCCATTTAGTAAAGTACGGTTTACACGCTCCACTTGACCATTGGAACGAGGGCATGCTATAGCATTTAAAATGTGTTTAAATTGTAACTCGATGGAGAAAAGTTTAAAATAGCGGCTAGTAAATGCCTTGCCTCTGTCTGTAATAATTCTTTTTGGATTACCGAATTGGGACAGTATGTCTTTCAGCAGCCTTATGGTCTCTATGGAGCTGCAGTTCTTAGCTGCCCTTGCGAAAACAAACTTGGTAAATGCATCAATAACGACAAGAATATAAGTATTACCTTTACGAGTTTTTATGAAAGGACCCAGATGATCTGCGTGTATGGTATGGTATGCATGGGACAAGCTGCTTTGTCTATCAGGTGTAATTCACCCTCTAGTTTGCCATGGTTGCCCTTACCGAAGGCGCATTGTAAGCAAGCGTTGATGTACTTACGTATGAACCGTGTCATGCCCGGAAACCAAAATTGTGCTTTGATGGTCTTCTCGCATTTTTCGAAACCCGGATGCCCTATCTGATCGTGAAGTTTTTGCAACAACCCATATTTAGCCAATTTAGGAATAACAAATCTCTCTCCACCAATAGTTTTTCTAAATAGGAGGTTATCTTTAACTACATAGTTAGCTATTAAGTCTGGATTAATGCTTTGTTCGCGGAATTGTGCGAGAATATTTTGAATACCTTCATCTTGCATTTGCAGTGTTTTTAACCAATCATCGTTATCTATCATGAGAACAAAATTCGAGGATGGGTTCCTACTCAGGGCATCAACATGCTTCATACGTTCGCCTGGCCAGTACTCTATTTCTAGGTCAAAATCTTGGATAGTTAGCCACCATCGGGCTATACGCGGAATCAAATCCTTTTTAACTAACGTAGTGCGTAGAGCCGCACAATCCGTAACTATCTTTACGGGTATGCCTGTAAGGTATATACGAAAACGTTTAAGGGATTCTACAACAGCTAGAGTCTCCAATTCATAGCTATGATAACATCTTTCTTCATTCGTCGTGACTCTACTAAAAAATGCGATTGGTTTTAAGTTACCATCTCTTTGGTGTTTGTGAATGAGCACCCCGCCTAAGCCGAGTTTACTTGCATCGGTATGGAGTTCTGTTTTAGCATCCTTGTCGTATATGCCTAAAACTGGTCTTTCTATTAATCGTTGCTTTAGTGTACGGAATGCTTGTTCCTGCTGGGAATCCCAATGCCACTCTATATCCTTTTTAGTGAGTTCAGTTAAGGGTTGTGCTATTTGTGCAAAGTTTCTTATAAATTTTCTAAAATAAGACGTTAATCCAATAAATTGTCTGACTTCGTGTACATTTCGGGGCCGACGATATTCAGCTACGCAGTTAATTTTAGCTCGACCTGGCTGTATTGTACCGGCAGAGATTTCATGGTCCAAATAATTAGTGGTATTTTTAAGAAATGAACACTTTTTTAAATGTAATTTTAGATTAGCTTTTTCAAGTAACCCCAAGACTTGTTCCAAAAGTTCTAATCCCCTTTTTACTGAAATAGTTGGAATCATAACATCATCTAAATATAGAGCTATTTCGTGAGATACTTCCCCTAAAGTTACTTGGATTAGTCGCGCAAATACAGCTGGTGCATTGGATAATCCAAAAGGCATTTTTAAAAACTCATAAAGGCCTGATTGGGTGATAAACGCGGTTTTTCTTATGGACTCATCATCAATTGGTACTTGGTAGTATCCCTGAGCGAGGTCTAGTGTTGTAAAATAGGATTTACCCGATAGACGGGTAACTTGGTCTTCAATGTGAGGTAGGGGATATCGATCCTTAATAGTATTAGCATTCAACGCCCTATAATCGACACAAAGCCTATAATCCCCTCCTTTTTTCTTGACTAGGACAACAGGACTAGCATACTCCGATGTGGATTTTCTTATAATTCCTGCTTCCAAAAGTTCATTTATTTTGCCGTTCATTATTTCATTTTCCTTATGCGAAACTCTGTACGGTTTACGATACACAGGTTGGTTAGAAATAGTTTTTATGTGTAACTTAATTAAGTTAGTACATCCTAAATCTTTCGTATCTCTGGCAAATGAATGAGCATACCTATTCAATAATTGTAGCAATACATTTATTTCCCTATGATTTAACTCACCCACATCGATATCGGACAATTTAATTTCGGACTTATTGGTGACTTGGTCTATAATAAGAGTATTGGTTTCAAAGCTATTATTTTTTTGTTTTAAAATCTCTGCTCTAGCTACGAGTTTATTAGCAGGCCATGATATAGTTTCATTCCCAACATTTAGGACCTTTAAATATGACATACTGGAATTAATGATGGCTTCTGGAATATAATACGATAACCCACCTAGCTGAAAACATACTGCATGTGTTAGAAATGCGTGCTCGTTTTTGTCAGTATTACTGTCACAGTCGACACTTATGCTAATGTATGCATAGGTTCGGCTAGGTATAGTGACGTCTAGTTTTGTAAAGACTGGAAATTTTGAAACATATTCAATTATTTTAAAACTGTTTTTTGTCAAGACATCTCCTAAAGTGAAGGTTGGAACAAATTTTACGAGATTCGTAGTCGTAACTAAGCTCACATTTTCTTGATTTATCATTGATTGTCCGATTATTAAGTCTATATCTGGTAGCTTGCAATCGGTTAACTCTACATCTCCTACCAAAAATAAATCATCAACATTTACAATAATTTGGCAAGTACCTAGCGAATATGAACAGGCTCCTCCAAAACCCTTCATTACAATAACTGAGGGCCGAGTTTTAAGTTTCATTTTTTGGGCTTGTGTAATAGTAAGTATGCTAAGCTTACTTCCAGTATCTATATAGGCCATCAATTTGATACCATTAACGATGACTCTTTTTTTATAAATATGTGGGTATTTATTAAGCGTAACGTGTAATACGTCACTAACCTTATAAGCCTGTTGTTGCATGGGACCAACTCCAGAGTTGGCTGCAGTTCCAGTAGCATACCAGCATGCAGCAGTTGCATGCCCTAGACGCTGACACACATCACAGCGCTGCTGGCAGTCCTTCCTTTCATGTCTTGGTCGTCGACACACATAGCAGATCTTGGGAACAAGTTGACGGCGACCCGAAGTAATTTGTGTATTTTTCCTCCAGATAGAATTGCGTGGTGAAACGCGGACGTCTCCGAGCGTTTAAAGTTTTCAAGCGATGACAGATAACCGAAGTAAAGTTGTTCTGGCGTTTCACAATTTTAGACTTTAGCATTAGCTCTCAATTCATGTGGTAAACCTCGAATAATACAGGAGATTGCATGTTCACCATTAATGTTTCATTTTTTGAGAAGTGATAACTTTTCGTGATAATATTTAGTCATAGTCTCATAGTCACTTTTTGACCTTGCCAGCATTGTTTCTAGTCTGTCTACGTAGTCAGTAGATCGAGGAAACGCAGTTTGAAGTGCTTCCTTCCACCCGTCCCAAGTAAGAGCATAATCGTCAAGGTCATCATACCACTCCCGAGCAGATCCAGCAAGGCGTAACTGCATTATAAATTGGCGATCCTTGCAGTTCCATTCGTATATGTCACCCAACTGGTCAATTTTATGAAGCCATCCAGTAACGTTACTGGTTTGGTCGTCTGGGCAGAATTTGGGTATAACTTCCGCGTCTATCGGAGACACACGACGTCTTTTGGTGAGCATAGAAGTTCTTTTTTTTTTGAAAAAAAATTTCGTCATCCTCATCTTCTTCTGAGGTTGTAGTGTCGCCGTATCTTCGCTTACATTCTCCTAGTCCTCCAATATACGGTCCGGACATAGTACGATCCCACTTCTGAAGTTTTAAATAAGTAACTATGAAGTAAAACAGATTACCTTGTAGCACTTTTTATTCACCTTATAAACGAATCACAATAATTATATTATACTTAATGTAGATGATAACAACTACTAGCAGAGCGACTTGCTTGCACACGACCGAAGTGAACTGAACTGAACTAAGATACCTCTGGCAATTTAATTTATAGTGTACAGCGCTGTTACAACTACCCACTAATCTTATTATTTTTACCTATGTTACTCTATGGTTTTATAATTTATTAAATCTGAAACATAGATTATCAGGGAGGGTCAATCTTGCGTCCGTATACTGGACGCAACAAGTCGGTCGGACGCAACATCGGCGGTAATTTCACCCATGTAGGAGGCAAGATTACTCATGAGATGTATATATATATTAAATATAAAGTATTGTAATATTTATTATTATCTGATACATATATACACTCTAAATTCATAGGCTGGGGTAGGGGGAGGGGTATTTTGAATGACAGGTCAGTACAAGTCGGCACGCAAGAAAAAAAAACTCCTATATATTTTGTACTTTTTTAGATTATAATCATCATTACAGCCTTTCACAAGTTCACTGCTGAACATAGGCCTCCCCCAAGGAATGCCACAGAGCACGGTCCTGAGCCACCTGCATCCATCGACTTCCTGCATGTCTTACCAGGTCGTCACTCCATCTAGTAGGGGGTCGCCCTACATTTCACCTACCGGTACGAGGTTGCCACTCGAGAACCTTTCTTCCCCATCGGTTGTCGGTTCTTCGAGCTATATGGCCGGCCCACTGCCACTTAGCTTACTAATCCGTTGGGCTATGTCGGTTACTCTGGTTCTACTGCGGATATCCTCATTCCTAAGTTTATCACGCAGAGAAAACCCGAGCATAGCCCTCTCCATAGCTCGCTGAGCGACCTTGAGCTTCATCATACGGCCAGCAATGAAGGACCACGTCTCAGATCTGTAAGTCATCCTGGCAACACGCACTGGTTGTACAATTTCGTTTTCAGGTTTTGAGGTAAGTCTAACGAGAAGACGTGTCGTAGTTTCCCGAACGCTGCCCAGCCGAGTTGAATCCGTCGATTGACCTCTCGGTCGAAGTTGAACTTACCTAGTCGGACTATTTGTCCCAGGTAAACATACTCGTCAACAACTTCCAGCTTAGTGTTCCCAACAATTACCGGCATAGGTGTGACATGGACATTAAAGTCATTAAACATGATTTTTGTTTTGTCCATGTTCATTTTAAGACCTATCCGTTGGGAGACACTACCGCATCCTTTCCAGTCCAGTAGCTTGAAAACGTCTTCCAATGCAGTGGTGAAGAGTTTCGGGGATATAACGTCACCCTGTCTTACACCTCTCTGCAGTTGGATAGGTTGCGTACTCTGATTCTGTACACGGATAGCCATCGTAGCTCTACTGTACAAACACTTCAGCACTTGGATATACCGACAGTCAACTTGGCACCGCTGAAGGGACTACAGCACCGCCCAAATTTCGACGGAGTCAAAGACTTTCTCATAGTCCACATACGCAAGGCGCAGATTATACTCCTCTGTCTTCCGTACAATCTGCCGCAGGGTATGTATGGGGTCCATGGTACTAAAGCCTTTCCAGTAACCGGCTTGTTCGGGAGACTGGAAATCGTCAAGTCTGCATGCGAGACGATTCGTAATGACTCTCGAAAACAGCACGTAGACGCGGCTCAGAAGGGAAATCGTTCTGTAGTTCTTCAAGAGAACGTTATCGCCTTTCTTGAAGAACAAGACCACCGCACTTCTGCTCCACGCCTCCGGAGTAGTGCCACCATGGATAACGGAATTAAAGAGCTTCTGAAGGACTTCAAGTACCGGTTTTCCACCCGCTTTCAAAAGCTTCGCTGTAATTCCATCCTCGCCCGGGGACTTGCCGTTTTTAAGGTGCTGGAGAGCCATTCTAATCTCGCTCAGACTGACGTCCAGGATATCTTCGGAATAGTGTCGGATAAGACTCGCTCTTGGATCGTTACTCACACTTGCGTGTGGCTCCAACGATGATGTGTACAGCGGCCCATAGAACCTCTCTATCTCACTCAAAATCTCAAGTGTCCCGGAAATGACCCTGCCACACTCGATCTTCAGCTTCGACAGTTGGCTCTTTCTGGCAGACAGATCTATAGCAAAGACTTTGAACCCTGGTTCCGCTCGATCGCTTCTTCAATACGAGCAGTATTAAAGTTGCGTAAGTCCCGCCGCCTGCATGTGGAGATCTGTCTGTTCAGTTGCCTGTATGCTGTCAAATCAACTGAAGACTGCAGCTTCATATCCCGTCTAACAGCCATGAGATTAAGAGTGTGATCGGAGAGTTTTTGTGTTCTTCTGCGGCGGATCTTGCAGAACTTAGCTCCGACGTCATGGACAGTTTCCACGAGCTTGTCATTCATATCGTCCACTTCATTGCAATCTTCTAGGCACTGAAAACGGTTTTGTAACTCTAGCTGAAAGGTTTCGGGACTTTGGAACAGAGCACGAGGGGGACGGAGCGTTGACTTCATTAGACGAGACCCTCCAACTTAACGTTTAGGTTCAGTATGCCTCTAACCATTCGGTGATCGCTACCAGTTGTCACCCTCGCGATCACGGAGACATCACTGAACAGTTGTCGTCTGGTCGTCAGAATGAAGTCAATCTCATTTTATGTCGAACCGTCGGGGTCGACCAGGTCCACTTCCTGTGGGGCCGCTTCTGGAAGAAAGAGTTCATCATAAAGAGTTCCTCTTTCTCCATGAAGTCGGCCAGCTGCTGGCCCCTTGGGTTCCGTAACCGTTCTCTCTTGTGCCTAGTTTTACATTGAAGTCTCCCATTAACACCGTATAGTGGGTTTTGGAGGAATGCATGGCTCTAGAGATATCCTCATACATTTCCTTCACCTTCTCATCGGAATGTGCCGAGGTTGGTGCGTAAACCTGTATGACCTTCAGCGAATAATGTTTGGTGATTCTGAGTATAAGGTACGCAACCCTCGTCGACACACTCTCAATATTTACAACGTTGTTAACGAGACACTTGTGGACGATAAATGCGACACCTCCTAGGGACTGATGGTCGCCCTCCCGGTGATACAGCAAGTTGCCGGATTCGGGGATTACCGTGTCCTCCCCCTCTCTTCGGACCTCGGATAATCCTATAATATGCCAGCGTAACTTGTCTATCTCTTCTTCCAGCTCCACGATCTTCTCGTCAGTCCTCAGGGTGCGTGCGTTGTATGTTGCCAAGTCAAGTCGTCTTAGGTGGCAACCGAACCTCCACCGGAGATTCTTAGCACCCCCTGCCCCGCCGTTACCATGGTCGCCACCGTAGCCAGGAATAGCGGGGCCGCCGGGGACTGGGGACCGTCTCTTTGTTGCTCTCATCATTGGGGGGTATTTGCCATAGTTGCCATGCTTGGCGAGCGGGTTGGCAACCGCAGTTTTTTTATTGTAATTTTGCTGTTATCAGGAAGATGCTGCTGCCCATCTTCTGCCTGTTTCCCTTTGTCGCCTTTTACGACACCCACGGGAAGATATGGGGTAGTAGATATTCTTAACCGCCACTACACGGCGATTATAATACTGTTAATGTTTATAATCCATAATTTGCTAAAATTAAAATTGAAGTATATGTTTGAAATGTCAAAATTACAGCGTTTTACTAAATGCATATGAAAGTATAAACGATAATTATAACAAAAATACACTTTTTATAATTTTTGTCTGTCTGTTTGTTCCGGCTACTCTCCGAAACAGCTGGACCGATTTTGACGGGACTTTCACCGGCATATAGCTGATGTCATAAGGAGTAACTTAGGCTACTTTTATTATAGAAAAATAATTAGGGTTCCTTGCAAAAACATTTAAACCCTAAATTGCACGCTGGCGAAGTCGCGGGGAACAGCTAGTAATATAAATAATCCTGATGGTTGCACATTTCATAGGTAAGTTCGCAAAACGTCGTTACTACTCTGACGCGTCTATTTTTGGTTAAAAGTTATGTTATATACTGTTTAAAATATAGAAAATTTTCAATAATTTCATTAATTTTGATATTTTGCGAAGAAAAAAGTCACGTTGTTGATAATTTGTATGATTTTGGTGAATTCATTTTTAAACAAAATATTTTACATGTACGCTAGGGATTCACTCAACTATATTAAAATTAATGTCGATATTTATCTTGAATGTTTATGATGAATCGATAGACTTGTCTACACAACATGGAGAGGAATGAAAATAAATACTCAATTTGCGTTCTATATACGTAATTTTATTATGTCGTTTGTCAAACAGATGGATAGAATAAAAAAATGGACAAGGTTAAAAGGAGTCATTCCTACATAATTTGTATCAGTAAGTATAATATTGTTACAGTAAGACTAAAAATAGAGATAGATTTTTATACATAATAAAACTGTAGTAATTATATAAAAAATAAAAAAAATCTAGGGATTATATTATTTAAGCAATTATGAACCCAACTGAGTATCTAGTTACCAGCTAAAATAATGTATAACATTATTTAACCACCCGCACCTCACGATCACACTAGTACAATATCTATCCCAGCGTTATGTCGTACTGACCACTTTGATCTGAAATATCTCCTCTTTGGTTAAGAATTCCAAATTCAAATTTATAAATTCATTTAGCTGCTACATTTGAGTTTTAAAAACAGTCATTCATTTGTTTTTGTTGTTTTTTCCTCATTATTTTTTTTGCAAACAACTTGCAAACACGAGACACAACAATGAAGGGATTTTAAATCAAATCATTAGTTGTGATGAAAGGTGGATACTGTACGATAATCGGAAGCGCTCGTCGCAATGGCTGAACCCTGTAGACCCAGCCAAATCCTGCCCTAAACGAAAATTGACTCAGAAAAATTTACTTGTGAGTGTTTGGAGCGCCGGTGTCGTTCCCTACAGCTTTCTAAAATCTGGCCAAACGATTACGGCAGATATCTATTGTCAGCAACTGCAAACCATGAAGGAAGAACTAGCTGCTAAACAACCGAGATTGGTCAATCGCTCTAGGCCACTGTTGCTTCACGACAACGCAAGACCACACATTGCACAACAAACAACCACTAAGTTAGATGAGCTACAATTTGAATGCCTGCGACATCCACCGTACTCTCCGGACTTTGCTCCAATAGATTACCATTTTTTCGGAATTTGGATAACTTCTTATAAGAAAAAAAATTCAACTCCAATGCGGCAGTCCAAACCGCCTTTAAAGAGTTTATTGATTCTCGCCCCCATGGTTTTTTTTTTAGTAAAGGGATCAATGAACTACCTATGAGATGGCAAAAGTGCATAGATAACGACGGTGCATACTTTGACTAATTAAATATATTTCACAAAAAAAAAATTGACTTTATATTCCTCCCGTACAAAACGCCAATTTCATATGTTAGGACCTACGTTCTCCAAGGGGTTGAGCGGAGCTTCAGATTATATTTCAAGTCACAATGATAAAACTTTTACTTTTAGTGTAGTTAGGTATAGATATTTAGTAATGTTATGCATGAGACATGAAAAATACTTCTGTTATAAAAACTAAAAATAATACAATAATTTTACGTTCTGTAATCGGTACTAAGACAATGGATAGAAGAATTAGGGCCCCAACTTCGTATTGTTTAATTATTGTACCTGTTCCTTTTAGTTCCCTGAAGACGAGTTTTATTTTTTATTTATATGTATTTTTGAAGTTAATCTTCTTAATCGACCTACTGGACAAATTGAGTGCGGTATTAAAAAACAAAAACGTCAAATTTTCTTGTAAAGTTTCACAGCCGGTGCTGAACGATTATACTATTACGTAAAACCTACTGATGTAAAATATAAAACAAAAGAAGCATGTTTTGGTTTCACTTCGTACGTGTACACAATTACACGCACAATTTTTTTACCCGTTTAAATATCAATATGTCATAAAATGTCGTATAATTATTTTAAAATATAATAATACTAAACATTTAATAACTAGGTACATGAGATAGTTTTTAATATCTCAATTTCTACTCTATGTTGTAAAGGGGAATTTACTTAGAGGCTTTTTATTAGACTTAATGGTCGATTTTTTTTTCAAGCCTATATGAGACCACCCATGAAGTATAAACTATTTAACTTTACTCACAACGCCCGATGCCCGATTTATACATGACGCCCGACTCTCTCACTGACTTTCCGGTTGGCTGGTAGAAAATGCCGTATGGCATTAT